TGGCACCAATAAAGCCAGAAGCTGGAGGGGGTGGTGGTAGTGTCTATACAGAGGACACACCAGAGCAATGGCTTTGCAGTAGAAATCAATAAAGAGAAAAAGATCCAGAAAACCAAGCTGACCAGAGGTTGGTGAAGCATAGGCAAAGGAAGGGTCACAAGTCTTGTGGAAAAGATACATAGAGCTAGGCATGGTGGGATTTTATCTCAATTGTATTAGTTAGCTACTGCTGTATGACAAATTGCACCGCCATTCCCATTTAATAGCTTAAAACTAAAGCTTTATTATGGTTTTATTTCAGTTTCTCTGGGTGAGAAACTACTTTGGGTTGGCCCCGGGGCAGCCTCAAGTTCAACTGGGAAGGCTCGACTTTAAGCTCTTGTGGAGTTGGCCGGGCTCAGTTCCTCATGGGCTGTTATTCTGAGGTCACTCTCCAATCCTTGCCATGTGGGCCACTCTAAGTTGGCGGCTTGCTCCATCAAACCGTGCAAGCCAAGAAGGTGACAGTTTGCTGGCAACATGGAAGGAAGCAGCTCTCCTTTGCCACCCAATCTCAGATGTGCCATCTTTCACCATTGCCTCAATTTGGCTTGCAGCTACAAGTCACAGACTCCACCCTCGCTCAGGGAACACCTGGAGGTGGGATCCTGAGATCGTCTTAGAAATCTTCCAGTCACACACAGGAACCTATCAGCGGCATCTGAGCAGGGGGTGACATATTCTGATATAAATACTTATATATTCATGATCACTTTGGCTTCCTTGAGTGTTGGAAGCATGAGTTGGGAGTTGGGCAGGAGTAGAGGTCAGCTGGCAGTTAGAGCACTGCATGGCTTTGGGCAAGGAGATAACAGGTCTTGCTAGTGGATAGAAGATGAAGATAGGTGGAGAGGGAGTGGGGGTGGGTGACACCCAGGCTTACTGGAATATGTCTTGCCTGTGGGATGATGATGCCCAGGACTCTTGCTTTTCTCTGGGACAGATAGGATGCCAGGAGCCCTATCCTTATCCAGCCCCAACTAAGGCCACACGTTTGATGAATGGTTGGTTGGCATTAGGGGCACTGGCCATGAGCAAAGAACACACATTTCCTTGGGCCAAGCCAATGGACTGACCCCATGTCCTGAGTCCCGTTAACTTGCTCACATTCATAATAGAATGTGAATAATCAAGAATTATTATTCACAAGCTCACAGAATAATCAAGCTACTGAGCAAAGTGGAGGAATGCTGCCCACCTAGTACACAAGCCAGCCAGAGCTGGAAGAAGTGTGTGTGTAGAAGAAACACCTGCCTCTGTTCCCCTCCTGAACCTGTGTGCGCATCACATAGCACCCCCTGGTGGTGGTGGTGCAGAAGGGTGGGGAGTTGAGATTAGCCCTTTAGTAGGGGACACAGACTCAAAGTACAGAGTATGTTCTGCATCAAACTGCTTTAGGAAAAGGGCTAGAGTATGTTCTCATCCCTGGGGGACAAGGGGATGTCCTCATGCCTCCTGCCCAGGCAGCCAGGCACTGATCAAAAAGTGATTCACACCACTAATCCAAATGACATCACCAAACACCAGCCACATTTTTTATGATTCCAACGTAGCCTTTGACATATTGGCATCATCTTGTTTAGGAGTCAAGGCCCGGGACTTTGGCTAATTTAGATGTCAGTGTGGCAACAAGAGGAAAGCCTGTCTGCTGGATTGCTTTTGCTCTCAGGACCCTGGCCCTACTTAGGGGGTTTCCAGGGGACTTCCATGTGTACAGCTCACTGAGGCCCCACCTCCTGGATAATTGACAAGGATGGGAAAAGGGCCAGACGGGATGAAGATTGGAAAGCACAGGGAGTTCCGGGAACTTCTGAAGTGGTGAAAGGGAGGATGGGAAAGGCGGAATAGGACCTCACATCAATTTTTTAAAAAATTACATTTATTTGGAGCCGGAGGGATGGCTCAGGAGTTAAGAGCCCTGGCTGCTCTTCTGGAGGACCTAGGTTCGATTCCTAGCACCCATAAGATGGCTTACAACCATCCTTAGCTCTAGTTCCAGGGGATCCAAACTCTTCTTCTGACTTTTCATATGCCAATGTGTATGAGTATGGGTATGCGTGTGGGCACACATGTGCCACTTTGCACCTGTGGAGGTCAGAGGACAACTTGTAGGCATTGCCTCTCTCCTTCACCATGTAGGTCCTAGGGATTGAACTCAGTACCTCTACCCACTCAGCCATCTCTACAACCTGAACCTTAGGTTTTTAAAAACACCCATCAGGATACGTTGGGTATTTTATACCCCATCTAGAGTGTCTTGAATAGGAATCCTGTGTTTTGAGAAAAAACACAGGAGCACTTCTGACAGGCAGATGCTCTGGAAGCTTCTCCGGGCCTCTTTACCTGCACTTTGTCCTCTCCCTGAGAGGCTTTGTCCTAAGTGGGTGCAGCCGAGTGGGTGAGTGGCACAGGTGTGGACCCACAACGCCTGCATTCTATTTCCAGCTCCTGTCTCTGACTCATAGAGTGACCTTGCTGAGGTCATGGTTTTGTGTTTCTTGCAAGGGGAAGAAATATCAGAGGTGGCAAAGCTTTCATTTTCCCAAGGAACACGAGTCCTACAGCATGAGGGCCTCCTGATTCTCATGAGCCTCAGCCATGTCCTGTTGATATTAATTTAAAAACCAAACCAAAACAACGATTAGATCTGGATCCAAGGGACTTTGGGAGGCAGTCAAAGCAAAAGGCAAGGAGTCCCCGACAGGGAGATTTGTGGCCACTTTTCCATGCATGGCTCCTACAACATTTTCCAAGTCACGTTTCCACACAAATAATTCCCCTCATGCCCTCATGCTGTCTGTGCAAGGATAGAGGAAGCAGTTCCTCTTCACTTCAGGACAAGGGAGTCACAGCTAAGGAGGGGCATTTCTCAGTTGTTTTGTTTCCGGAAACCCCTGGCATTATTTTGCTATCAAGCCTGACCTGTTTTGTGAGCTAAATACTGTGCATGTATTAGGTAGAAAGCGACTGTTTCTGTTGATTAAAGTTCCCCATGAGTGAATGCCATGTTTACTCTTGGTGTCCTTTTTCTAGATAAAAGCCCACCTCTCACCAGGCTAAATTTTAACAGACAACGTCTAGGAAGGCTTCAGAAAGACAAAGGAACCTGACCTATAATTCTGTGGTCAGTAGTAGGCCCAGGATCTGACACCAGGGGAAGGGATGGGGATCTGACTCACAGTGCAGAGCTGCAGCTAGTCAGGGCCCTTGGCAGAAAGACACCTGTACATACTTAGCCCTACACATACAAGGGAGGACAAAATGGCAGCCTGATCAATCAGGTGTCCTGAGACAAAAATGCCCAGAGCTCCAACAGGTCCTGTGGTATTGCTCAGCTCTGGTGAGAACAGTCAGAACAGAACCTGAGGCTTCTTTCTTCAGGGTGCTTTTGCGGACTACAGGGTAGTAGCATGTGCTTATTCTGGCTACCTGCTTTCATCTTCAACAGCACACCACTAGTGTGGCTAAGGCTCCTTCATCTACCCAGATCTTTTCTACCCCATACTGCTTCTTTAAGGGGCAGAGCCCCTGAAACTGGAGATTGTAAGGATATTCTGGGGCCTCCGGAGAGAGTGGGGATACAAGGCAGGGGACTGTAGGTCTGGCTTGGTGGCATGGGTGTGTGCAGGGCAGAAGCTACAGAGGGGGCCCCTCTTAGAACTCACACAAGTGCTATTATCCTCTTGGGCCCCCTGGCTCCATCCCAAAGGCTCGATTGCCTGATCCCTGGCTCAGAGGTACCAACTGGCTTCCAAACTGGAAAAAGAGGTCATCCAACTCCCTTCAAACTGGGAAAAAAATATCCAGACTTAGCTCTGGGACTTGGAATAGCTGGCTCCACCAATCCCCAGCAGAGCCAGAGGCTGGGGCAGGGGCCATGGGGGGGGGGGGACTGTAGTTGACACCTGTTCCCTGAGTTATTTTGGACCAGGGGCTGAGCTTTTCAGCTTCAGGGTACTGGGATTAAAATAGCCACCTGCAGGGCAATCTCCTTGTGGCTCTGTGGGGGCTTTCCCAAGGAAAAGAGTCAAAGCTGGGGTGGGGAGAACAGGAGGTTGGCTTGAGGAATGACAGGGAAGGAATTCTGCCACTGTCTAAGGCCAGCCTCACCTCTGTGGAGCTCTAAACCTTGGCATCTCTCCGACCAGATCACTTTCCTCGGGCATCAAAATGAAGGGCTGAAGGGGAATGGAAGGAGTTGGTAACTCCCAAACTCTGCTTCTGGCCTTCCTCAGTCCTCACAGTGAGTGATGAGATATCAGCTACCCTCCCCATTTCACAGATAGTTCCCCAGGAGTTCAAGGGGTTTAAGAGGCTCTGGTCTCAGGTCAGCCAATTCCCTTCCAAACTGCCCCTGTGCCTCTTGCTTGGGCCTTGCTCAGAGCCACAGTAGTTCCATGCTGGGAGGATAATCAGTTCCGTCCCCAAGCTCAGGACCAGCATGGAAAACGCTGACTGGCCGGGGCCATCTTTCCAGTCACAGCAGGACTCTGGCAGCCCCCCGCCAGGCTCACACCCTCCTCCAGGAGAAGGTGGAACAAAAGCAGGTGGGAGGAAGGAGGGTGGTCGGAGGGAAGCCCAGTCATCCTGGAGCCTAGCCCGTACTCAGTTTCGCAGCCCCAGACGGGGACTTGACAGCCTGCGGGCATTGTCCAGGACTTGGAGACAGAGTGATCTGGGGCCCCTTTGGCAGAGACGAGGGTGGCGCTGCGGGCGCATGCCCCAGACACGCCCTATGAAAATCGCTCCAGGGATCGGTCACCGAACTTAGTCTTGCGCGCCGCTGGCCAGGTCCGTGCGACAGGTCCCACTTCCCCGCCCGAGTGGGGTCTCGCTAGACTCCCTCCGCGATCCCCTCCTATGCCTTGGAATGTTCCAGAGGGTCGGTGTCCTGTGCGGGTGAATTCGGCGCCCAGCGCCTCTCCTTTGCCTCCTCCCTCCCCGCTGCCCGGACACCCCAGGTCGCTCTGTCCCCGCCACACTCTCATCGCTCCCGCGCGCCCGGGAGCAGTCTCCCCGCCCCGCGCCGCTGCCCTAGGGCTCCCGGCGCCCCGCAGCCAGGCCCCCGCTGCGCCTGCTTCGCCCCAAGAGCCGTGTCCGCCAGAGTCCCCGGGGCCATGAGTCTCTGCGCTGTCTCCCGCCGCCCCACCGGTGCCGCTGCGGCGCTGGGGCTCGGTAGCCTCTTGATGCTGCTCGGGCCGGGACGCGCGTGCCCCGCGGGCTGTGCCTGCACCGATCCCCACACCGTGGACTGCCGTGATCGCGGGCTGCCCAGCGTGCCCGATCCCTTCCCCCTGGACGTGCGCAAGCTGCTAGTGGCCGGCAACCGAATCCAGCAGATCCCCGAGGACTTCTTCATCTTCCACGGAGACCTGGTCTATCTGGATTTCAGGAATAACTCGCTGCGCTCGCTGGAGGAGGGCACGTTCAGCGGCTCCGCCAAGCTGGCCTTCCTGGACCTGAGCTACAACAACCTCACCCAGCTGGGCGCCGGCGCCTTCCGCTCGGCGGGGAGGCTGGTCAAGCTGAGTCTGGCCAACAACCACCTGGCCGGTGTGCACGAAGCCGCCTTTGAGAGCCTGGAGTCGCTGCAGGTGCTGGAACTCAACGACAACAACCTGCGCAGCCTCAACGTGGCAGCTTTGGATGCGCTGCCCGCGCTGCGCACTGTGCGCCTGGATGGGAACCCCTGGCTATGCGACTGTGACTTCGCCCACCTCTTCTCATGGATTCAAGAGAACGCATCCAAACTGCCCAAAGGTGAGCCAGAGGGTGGCTGAAAGCCAGGGCTGGGTGGTGTAGGGAAGGAGCTGGGAGAGTCCAGTCCAGTCTGGATGTTGGGGCCTCGCTTTGGGGACTCAGAAGCAAGCCCCCTGAATGAGAATCCCTGTGGATGTAACTACACAAGATCAGCTGCCTGAAAGTCTCCCGGATATGTTGGCAAAGAAAATGCCAAAGATCACATCCGGAACTCTCCCAAGTTTCTCCCTTTTTTCTTCACCTCCTACCCGGATTTAGGACCCGCCTTTTCTCCATCACTGTGGTCCACATCCACTTTGGGAGCTTTTGGGCCCTAGGACAGGTGGGTGTGAGGAATGTACTGGTCCCTTCTAGTGGGAAAACCCAGTGCTGTGTGGGACACCATACCTTTCCCAGAACCCAGAGATGGAGAGGAGCTGGCCAGTCCTGAATGTAGTCTAGCTGCCACAGATTCCAAACTGGTCCAGCTGTTCTCAGATCCCCTTGACTCTTCAGCCCACCTCCGGTGAAGAGAATCCCTGGTGAAGACAAAGGCAGCCTAGATGTGCAAATGTGGGATAGAAACCTTTCGGGTGGGCACCTCCCCTGCTTTCCTGCTGCCCCTCCTGATGGCCCCCACACACCCAAATGGCTGATGGGAACACAAGGGCTCTGGGAACACAGCACAAAAGAAGTAAAGGCAGAGCTGGGAAGTCAGGGAGCCCGGCATTCATTGGGGTGCATGCCAGGACAGGTAATATCCTTACCTTGGGTAGAGTTCACCTTTCTACTCATGAGCCTGTGAGCATTGGCCCAAATTGACCTCCTGAGAGCCTCTAAAGCTTTGGTGAAGTTGGTTGCAGTCCTGTATAGCACACGTTATAAAGGGTGGCATAGCTGTGAACTTACCTTTATTCTTCCCATTGACAACTCAGGAACACTGTTTCTTGGTGTTTCTTGGAATTCCTGTGTTTACTTGTTCATATGACCCACAGGGTCACAGGCACACACCCTGAGCCCTGCTGTCGCTCGTGTGACAAGTGGACACTTTCTCTCCCTAATAGCTCTATTTGTGAACAGTTCTTAAAAGATCTGGCCTGTGAGCTGCAGACTCCCCCAGGTTTGAATGATGCCTTCTCCTGCCTGGCTCCCTAGATCTGCCAGGATATTCTGAATGACAGGAACGTCCTGTCAAAGCCCTCACTGGGGAGAGGGTCACCTTGTCTCTGATTGCCCCATCTTAGTGGACTGCTTGTCAATTACCCACTTGTGTGTCTACCAGGGGGCTCCCATTGTCTTCCAGTTGGGGGCAGGAGGTTGGGTTCTGTTTTCAGTGTTGCCTTGGGTAGCTGGGACCTTGAGTGGACTTTGAATGTTCTTGTGCCTTGGCATCATTGTCTCTTGACTGCTTGGGTTGACCTCTGAGACCTCCACAGAGTCTGAAGTCCGGGGTTTGAGTTTTGCTTTAAGGTCCCGGGGACTCTGAGTAGGTCACTTAAGGTTTTTGAGGGTTCCCTTCTTCATGTGTTGTCAAAATCAAAACACAGTAATGAGGGTGTAACCCTAAAGCAAGGGGAGCTGTTACTCTTCCAACATCCATCATCCATGGGAGAAAATGGACAGCAGGTGGACACATGGGGCTGGAAGAGAATGGACAGGCACTGAACAGAAGACAGTGTAAGGATCCTGGGGAGAGGGAGGGCAGAGAGGGAGACTAGTCTCATCCAGCCAGGAGAGGAGGGACAGCTGGACGACACCTCCTGGGGCACAGAGCCAAGGGCAGCTGCCTACAGAGTGTGGCCAGAACAGTGTCCCCAAAGTGAACCAGAAGCTGGGAGGGTGAAGGAACTGGTTCAGGCTGAGAACTGAGTGTAAGACACAAGTCCTGATCTGGATTCAGTCTTACGATTTGAGATGAGCCCCTGACCTCCCCAAGCCTCAGTTTCCCTGCTTTTGAATTCCAAATATGGACATTGTCCTCCTGCCTGCTGGGAGGCTTAAAAGCCATGTGCTTGATGAAGGGCACAGTGATGCCCAGTGTGCCGTGGATACTCAAGAGGGGTTAATTTCCATACCCTCCTGTATCATACTTGACAGTTCCTCAAACTTTACTTGGCACATGGTAATTGTGTATATTATTGGGGCACATAATGTGATAATTTAATACATGTATGTGATGTATAGCTATCAAATAAGAGAAATTTTCCATTTCTATCCCATTAACCATTGGTCATTTCTTTGGTCTGGCCTCTTGCAAGCTCCTTCTGGCCTTAATACAATATAAATATGTTGATATGGGGACTAGAGATGGCTCCGTTTATAAAGGGCTGCCACACAAGCATGAGGCACACATGTAAAAGTCAGACATGATAGTGTGTATCTGTAATCCCAGGGCTAGGGTGGGATGGGTGAAGACAAATGGATCCCAGAGCTCATTGGCCAGCCAATCTAGCTGTATCAGGGACCTCCAGGCTCAGTGAGAGGCACTCTCTTTAAAAATAATGGTGGAGGGAGGCCAGAGAGATGGCTCAATGGTTAAGAGATCTTACTGCTCTTCCAGAGGATCAGAGTTCAGTTCCCAGAACCCAGGATGTAATTCCCACCTCCAGGGGATCCAACAAGGTCTTCTTGCTTCCCAGGGGACTGCACTCCTGTGGCACACACAGCATCCCTACAGCAGACATGCATAGACATAATTAAAAATAAAAACACATTTTAAAAGGACACTTAAAAATAAGGTGAAGAGCAACTGAGGAAGACACGTGACCTCTGTCCTCCATCCATATGCACATTTCACATGTGCATCTGTACCTGGTTATACATGCACACCACACACACACACACACACACACACACACACACACACAATAATAAATAATTAAATAATATAGCCTGCCTATGCCGTAGAATGCTAGGGTTTATTCCTCCGTAGTATACATTATGTAGCCTCCCTCTGTCCCCCTCCCCCACTCCTTCCCAGTATATGTCTTTCATGAAGGCCAAGGCCAAATATCTAAAGCCCAGCTGGGGCACTGAATGTGTGTGTGTGTGTGTGTGTGTGTGTGTGTGTGTGTGTGTGTGTGTGTGTGTGTGTTTGCAGTGTCAAATGCTCTACTACTGAGTGACATCTCCAGTCCTGCGTGGCTTTTCTGTAACACACTTACCTCATCTGTAAATGATGATACAGTACCCTCGAGGTGAGGTTCCTGGGAGATTTAGAACAGTAGCAATAGGAACTGCATGACTTTTTAAGTGGTGGCGTTGTCCAGACTGCCCCCACTGTGGAGAAGGCACATGTGCAGAGAAGCCACACTCATACAAAGTGTGGCTTTGACTGAAGACGCTTCCTCCTGGCTCCCACCTCCCTAGCCATACTGACCACCAACTTTCTGCCAATGAAAATCAGGCTGCACGGGGTACAAGCTCGAGGCTTTCTAAGAACAAGCTCTGCCTCTCCCCCAGGCCTGTGCAGCTGCCTCTGGGGTTGCTCTCTGTGTCTGTGCACCCTCCTCGTCAGGCCAGAACAGAGCTTTCTCCTTGTGACCTTGACTGCCTCAGCCAGTAGCAAACATGCTCTCTGCCAGGTGAGCCTCCCCTGTGACCACACAGGGATGGGGAGTATTCAGCCCCAAAGCTAATTCCCAGGAGAGGAGGGGGCAGGGAGGGGCAGGACAGGCTCTTCCATTGGGCCTGAGGCCAGAGAAGAAACTGCTCTGCTGGAGGGAGAGGGAGAGGGATGCCAGCACCTCCAGTGGCCAGGTAACAGAAAGCAAAACAAACTAGTGAAAAAAAGGCCAAGCAGACATTCTAGGGTGCTGAATTAGTGTTGAATTTCAGATAAATGATAAATTGCTTCTTAATATAAGTATGTTATTCTTAAAGACATGAGGAACAAATATGCCATACCTATTTAATGTAATACGGCAATTTAGTATTTATATGAAATGTTGTTTGCCTTTTATATGAAATCCAGGCCTAATTGGGCATCCTATATTTTTGTTTTCATTTAATTTGATGTATTATATCATATATATATATATGATATATGGATATGGCATATATGTGGTGACATGTATGTATAAGTGTAAATGTGGAGGTCAATGGACAGCTTTTCAGAGTCTGTTCTCTCTTTCCACTATGTGGATCACAAGAGTAGAACTTAGGTTATCAAGCTTGGTGACAAGCGCCTTTACCCACAGAGCCACCTTGCCATTTCCCATGTTTGATTTGTTTGTTTTTGCAATAGGGTCTTGCTGAGCAGCCTAGGCTGGCCTGGAACTCGTGATTCTCCTGCCTCAGTCCCCCGAGTTCTAGGATGCCAGCGTTCATTTCCATTCCCAGCTCTCTGGCATCCCTACCATGCTGTCTATAGTTATAAACTTCTTTGTCATTTCTACGTCTCTTTTCACTTAATGTCTCTGCCTGGTGGACACCTTCTCCAACAAATTTCCCACCAAGAAACAAAAGCCGTACCATGTGGAGTGGCTGGCATGGGGCTGAACAGTTAGTGGCTGAGACAACCTGGAACTCTGGGGTGTCCCACCCCATGCTCCATTCTTCTGAAAGCCATGGGAAGGGACACTGTCCTTCCCCCTCAGTCCTCAGTTCCTGGGTGATATCAGGCTCCTTCTTCCTTCCAGTCCTAGGTTCTGTACCTGCTCTGGTGGTTCACCATGAGATTCTGGACTCCCAGATAGTGAGGAACAGTGGGTGGCCAGGGCACAGAGCTGATATATCTCTTTAAATAGAAAGTACCCCAGACCCAGAAGCCAGAGAGACTTTGGGTAGAGAGAGATGGAGGTGGGGGGGTGTCAGGAGACCAGGAAGAATCTGGTGATGACACTTTATTAAAGATGCTGTGCTCTTTACAGCTTCACTTTACCAGAGCTTCCTTCATATAGGCCTGGCAGGTGGACAGCATAATCTGAGAGCACCCAGGAGCCTTCTGTGGATCCCTAGGTCCCTAGGTCTTGAACAAGCACCAGGGAAGAAGCCCACGATCGGTGCTGTATGAGTCCCAT